ACATTCCTTGGAATACTCTGCCTATCCCATGGGTAAGCAATTCAGTACTCCCCATACTGCATATAGCGTGACCACAAAACCCTCCTTTCATTAAATAAAGTGAACTCATCATTTAACATGACACAGAAACAGACTTTGCAAAGGACAATAATTTTCTTAGGATGGTGTGTTGTTTATTCTGGGATTGAATTAAACAATACAGTTTTGTCAGGAGGCTAGGAAAGGCACTTTTATTTTTTAAGCACAATGCAGGAAGAGGTTGAAACCAAGACCAAAGCCAGGGGCAAATGTAGAGAGTGGTTCTGATGGGACTTTTCCATTTCAGACTCAACCTCTTCTTCTACAAGTAGCTATTAGTTTGGAGGCCAAGCCATTCATTTCTCTGCAATGTGTCCTGGCTGGGCTAAAACCCCAAGGACACCACAGACTTTTGATCTTCACATTTCTTCTGTTTAATTTAGAAATATTTAAGTATTCATCATACTGAATCTCCCCAGGGATGACCTAAAACAAGAACAACAAGGATTAAAAGCTGTTTATGGTTATTTATTTATTTATTTAAATTCATATTCTCAGACTAGAAATTCAAACCCTTACTTTTTTTCCTTTAAATGTTTTTATTGATATTGTGGTTTTTTTTTACATCATCATAGTGTCCCATGTATCCCTCCCCCTCCTTCTCCCACAGAGCCATCTCATGTGGCAAATAGTCTTTTTTTGGAGAGGGAAAAGAGCCCAGCTGATCAGTACATTGAAAAAGTCCAAAAACATATGCAATGTGTAGCACCTATGGACCTCCCACTTCCATGAAGGGGTGGGTTGGGAGTATCTTCTCAGATCTCTTCATTTGTCCTGTTTGATCATTATCATTTTATTACACTTACTTCTGACTTTCTAGTATGTCATTTGTCTTTCCAGTTACGTTGTTGTAGTTACTGTGTATATTGATAACTTGGCTCTGTTTACTTTATTCTGCATTAGTTGATACAGAACTTTCCATGCCTCTCTGTATTCATCACACACATCGTTTCATAAGCACACTAATATTCCATTACATTCATGCACCACAATTTGTTTAGCCATTCTCCAATCAATGGGCATTGACTTTGTTTCCAATTCTTAACTATTGCAAAAAAGTGCTGCTGTTAGTTTTTTGGAGGTTTTTGTTTGTTTGTTTGTTTTTGTTTTTGTTTTGTCAATGGCTTCCTTGGGCTATAAGCTCAGTAATGTATAGATAGACCCTTACTTTCAATCATAACCTGTTATCTCACAGACAATCTGGCCTTAGACTAAAGCAAGGAATGGAGAGCTTAGTTGTGGGCTTGTCTGCAAGACTACCCCTGAAGGGTTCTTTCCTCTCAATTAAGAGATCCACAATGTCAGTAATCACCACGAAGTTCTCATGGACTTTTATCTGAGAGGCATAGACTATAAACTCCCAAATCTTCATACTGCAATACTCAACTAATAGAGGAAACCAACAGATACTTTTCTTCCTATTTTGCAGATAAAAATAACAAAAAAACAGAGAATCAGGGAAGTCAAGGAGAGAGTCATTGGGAAATATGGCATTAGATTTTTAGAGTCTTGACAATAAATTTTATTCTCCAGTCATCCTATTTGGTAGTTGGTATTTATGCTTTTATACTGAACAATTACTAGTATAAATAACAAAAGCATGAAGGAGAGGCTATCTAATATGGTAGAAGAGGCAGCAAGGCCACAGAGGCTAGAATGCCAGACTTGAATTTAGGAAGACCTTGGTGTGTGACCCTGGGCTAGTCGCTTAATGTTTCTGAGCCATGCTTCTCTCACCTCTTTTCTGTTCTAGGTGAAGGGATTGGAGCCTCCTTTCAGAAGGGAGCATCTAGGGTTCGCAGCATCTCGTTTGGTTAGCACTGGTGCCCAGAGGAGCAAGGAGTGACTTTGGAAAGTAACTTTCAGGCCCCAACCCAGGGTAGGTGAGATGGAGTAGTTAGGTCACAACAGGAAATGAGCTTGGTGGGGTATGGAGGAATTGTACTAAGAGTGAGCCTTCTCTCTCCAATGATCAAGGTGGAATAAGGGAGAGCATTCCTGAAGTGTTGGAGGAAAAGTTTTGAATTTTGCTCTTGATACAGCTTCAAATCTCTTTGTAAAAGGTAATTGATGTTGTTAAATGGAATTGAGATGCTGTTCCCTGGCACCTAATAGTAAGGGGAACCTAGCCGGGGGGGGGGGCAACTCAAGCTGATGACAGAGAAGACACCCTAAGAAAGCCTTGAGGATACCCAAGTGGCAAATGGAACCTTCCTGGCTCTGTAAGAGTGAGCCAAAGCATACTCACTACATAAGGTTCAACTGAGACAATGCATGTAAATCCCTTTGCAAATCTTAAAGCACTATATAAAGGTGAACTATTATGAATGACAGAAATAGCATTTATTAAGCACTTACTGTGTCCCAGGCACATACTACAAGCTCAATAATGGCAGTTCTAGCTCTTACAGAACTTTCATTCTAATAAGGGAAGACGACACATGTAGGGGAATGGTAGCCAGAGATGGGTGCTTTGGACTGAGAAGTCACAGAGATAATGAGTGGAGGAATAGAGTGTTGACTGAGGTATCTCTTCCAGGACTGGTACTGTTGCCTTGGTTACTGGACCTACAGCAGGAAGTTGTGAAGGATGGGAAGATCTCACTGGTGTTAAGTATCAGAGGCAAGATTTGAAACCAGGTCCTTTGACTCCAGGGTTAGTGTTTCTCCCACCATACCACTCTGCTGAATGTCCTTTATGTACTTAAAGGGAAAGACTGGATCTTGCTTTATTCAAATGTACAGATGAGGATTACGGCTAGGACTAGGCAGGAAGTAAGCCAGAGGTTGGCATTTAGGCAGCTTAATCTTTTGGTTGCCTTTGAAAAGAGAGAAGTTTCTTGGAGTGAATTCTAACCATGGTTGTACCCCTTCTTCCTCTGTCCTTCCATTTTTTTTTTTTTTTATGGTGAGGCAATTGGGGTAAAGTGACTTGCCCAGAGTCACACAGCTAGTGAGTGTTATGTGTCTGAGGCCGGATTTGAACTCAGGTCCTCCTGAATCCAGGGCTGGTGCTCTATCCACTGCACCACCTAGCTGCCCCTTGTCCTTCCATTCTTTTGAAGATCATGAGCAAACCACTCCCCTTTCTGTGACTTTCCACATCAGTGTTGGGAGTTGCCCACCCCTCCCTCATGGGCTCTACATCCCCTCTGAAGCAGTTGTGGTCAGAGACTCGAAACTTGAGAATCTGCTACCATTAGGTCCACCAGCAAGTCTCTATTGAGCAAGCAGCCACATGCCCAAAGTGAAAAACAGAGGTCACTCCCAACCCCCTTTAGAAGATTATAATATGGAGACAAAGGTCACATATGAAAGGCAATTAGGAAAAAAAAAGCAATTAAGCAACAAAAGGAAAAAGTATAAAAATCAAGTGACTGTTTCTATGGAAGAAGGAGAACTGCCCTTCTTGGGCCTGGAGGGCAGAACCAGGAGCCATGCCTACAACTTGCAGGGTGTAAATTTCAGGTCGATATAGGGATAGGGGCCAGACTTGTGTTTTCATTAAGATTAATAAAATAATTTAATAAATAATGTTAATAATATAGAGAACTCCCAGGTGAGGAAACAGCCTTTAGAAGGTTGGCAGATCCTTTGCAACTTGGCATTACGAAGGTTGCCAATCAGTAAATGAGCATTTATCAAGTACTTATACCATGTGCCAAGCACTGTTCTATGCACTTTGGATACAAAGAAAATCAAAACAAACAGAAAAAAAAAGTCTGCCTTTAAGGAGCATGATTCTAATGGGGGAAACAACGTGTAAATAACTTGGCCCAGACAAGAGTATGGATGGAGGAAGCTCTGAAAGCAGAGACATCCTGGGGGATGAAGAATGTGGGCTTTGAGCTAAGTGTTGAAGTCAGAGATACTTAGAGCCCTCAAAGGTTAACTGGCTTACTCAGGGTTACACAGCCTCTATAGGACTGGAATCCAGGTATTCCGGGATTCATGGCCAGCTTTCTATTCCCAAGTCACCTTGTGAACTAGTGAGCTTCCCATCAAGTATTCAAGCAGGGGTAGGATGACCACTTTCCAGAAACATTAGATGGGATTTGTGCTTTAAAAGATGATTTGAGGGTAACTAGGTGGCATAGTGGATACAGCACTGACTCTGGAGTTAGGAGTACAAGTTCAAATCTGGCCTCAGACACTAGCTGTGTGACCCTGGGCAAGTCACTTAATCCTGATTGCCTCAAAAAACAAACAAACAAGCAAACCAAAAAAAAAAAAAAAAAAAAGAAAGAAAGAAAGAAAAAGAAGAAGAAAAAGAAAAAGATTTGGACTAAATGACCTTTGAGCTAACTTCTAGCTCTGAGAGTCTGTGGCAATGTCTCAGTGCATTAATTGTCTTCCCCACAGAATATATAAAATTTCAGGGGTTAGAGGGAAGAAAGAAGCATTTAAGTGGGTACTCATTTGCCAGGCACTTTATGCCTGTATCAATATCAGAACTTCTGTATGCTTGCTCAGCAGATTCTGAGACATCAGTTCATAGGAATGAACCCCAGAGAACTAGCTCATGGACCTTAGTTTCAGAGGAGGAAACGGATATCCAGAGTCTAAGCTCACAGTCAGTATTCAAACATGGTTTTTGATGCCAATTCTCTTTGCTATGGTCTACCAGTTAACAACCAATAAATAAAGAAAAGAGAAAGGACATGTCTGCCATGATCTCATTCCTCTGGACTGTTAGTATGGAGGAAGAACACCTCATCTTGGCCTCTGGAACCTTCTCCTTACAGGGCCCTGTTGACCTGGTTCAATCTCACCTCAGTTGTATAACCTCAGCCATGGTGGTCCCTCTGAAAGTACCATTTTCTAAAAAGTAATCAGGAACAACACCAAAGTGTTTCATGGCATTGCCCACACTCACATATTATGACTTCAACCACAATACAAGTACAGGGCTAAGGGTAAAGGAAGGTTTCACAAAGGTTTATTTTAGAACCATGAAGGCAGCTTTTCAATGAGTCCATTACATCACTGAATGAACAAACATACATTTCAGTTACATGGAAGAGGACAGAAGAAAAGGGAGTGGAAGGAAAACAACTATGCCATTCTGCAGCATTTTATCATATTAGATATGTATTATTTAACTGAAGAAACTTTAATCTTTATTACATTGTGGAATCCCTTTGTAATTGGAACAGAAATTTCCTCAAGATAATGTTGAGATGGCTGTCTCGGAGCAGGTGGCAAGATCTGATTACTGAGGACTTAACAGTATTTTGTTCTCATATCCAGAGCAAAGAGTAGAGGATTTAAAAATAGACCAGCATTCAAGAGATTCACTCCAACTTTCATGTTTATTACATTTTCACCCTGAAATTCACAGAGAACTTCCTCATTTTAAAAGAGGAGCTAAATAATAAATGTATAAAATAGGGCTATTGTAACCAAGTAAAGATCTGCCCCATAGAGGCTGATGGGGTAATATAGAAAGGCAGGAGCCACGTTCTTGACTACAGCGAGTAAGAAGCAGGCCCTAGAACCAGCTTTGACTTGGCCAAGTACTTTTCAAGTCATACAGTATATATTAAGTTTGGAACTCCTAATATAACATTTTTCTTTTACAAAATGACAACACATTGAAAAACACATCCTTCAACATGTAATAGCAATAACATAAAATGCAACTGAAGATGTAATGGTTAAAAGAAACAAGTGTTTTGGTCCATACGTTATGTTGGTATATTCTAGTGCTGAAAGTGCTTTTATCATTTAATAACAAAAGATATAAATATAAATATAAGCAAACCATTTCCCCCTTTATATTGGCAATTGTCCTCCCTCTCCATTAATTAGAGAAGGAAGAAAAGGTCCAAGTGTCAAGGCCTGATCTGAGTCCTATCTGCCTCCTTGTTTCTAATCTGATCATCAAATCAGCATGTAATTTCAATGACTTTTTCCTCTGTGAGTTTGATTCCCTTATGATTGCTGAGCCAATTCAACAAACATTTGTTGTCTCCAACATACAAGGCACTGTGCTAAGTGCTAGGGACAAAGAAACCTCATCCCTGAACTCAAAGAGCTTATCTAATGGGGGGCGGGGGGAGGGAGAGAAGAGACACAAAAAGGAATGAGATGAGGCAGAAGGTGATGAGGGAGATTCACAAGAATGAATATTTGAAACATCTCTTTAGGAAACTGTACAGTGATTAGCCACCAGCCTCTTTTCCTAACAAAATATCCATGTAGCTATAGATAAAAAATATAGACTGTGCTTTCTTGGAATTTGATTGAGGAAACTAAGGGAGAGTGGTCTTCTCTCATTTATCTGGCTTAATCAAGCCTTGCAGATAATCACTTGCCTAGTACTGAGAGTGGATGGCTTATGATTAAGCCCAATGATAAACATGGAATTCTACTAATTTTAACTAATTGTGAATGTCAGTGGTAGAAACAGTGATGTTAAAAACAACTATATGGTTTGTTAAGTTCTGAGTTCTTATCTGCAAGGCTGAGATGAGGTTTAAAAATGAAGATAATTTTACACTATATAATCATAAAATACTTTAGGCATTGGAAATAGAAGGCAAAACTAGCCTATAGCAGAAACAGAATGGGGACTGTATTGATAATAAAGGGACAAAATGGCATTTTGGAAGCCCTGCAGGGCTAAATATCCCAACGGTCAGACTAAGCTCTGTTATCTCTGTTTCTTTAGGGAAAAAAGTACTCTAATTCTCCTGGACATGTGTAGTTCCAGTCAGGGTTCATCCAATTCTCCCTCTGAAAAACTTCTAAGGATGGAGGGCTTCAGCTGCCAACTTCCATACCAGAAGACTTAGTTGTAGTGGACACAGCAGGTAGTTAGAAGTTAGCTTAAGACCGAGTGAAGTTTCACAGGATTGGGTGGGACAGAGCCACGCCCTCCCGTTGTCTCTACAGCAGGCTTGCAAGCCTTCACTCTCCCAAAGATCTTGGAATACAAACAGCTGGTGGTGTCCTGAGGCTGCTCTTGGGATGAAGGAGGCAGTGGTGGCCAGGTCCTAACAGCCAATTTGAAATTAATAGGTTAAATTCCTCAAGGACAAATACAGGTGGAAGGTAGTGTTCTATAGCCATCCCATGGCACCAACCATTGGGCTAGGTACCCTGAGAATACCCAATACTTATCAAATGACAAGTTGATGAAATTAGGGGCCATTTCAAGCTAATAATTTCAGGCATTTATAAATGAAAGGAAGCCTTGAGATGAGAAGAGAGTCTTTCAACTGGAACGATACACGTGATCAGCTAAACCTATTTCAAAGCACAGGATACTGGGAATGATGTTTCTTCTTATGGTCTTAACCCCCTAAAGATAAGTGTTCTAATAGCAAAAAATGTATAGTGTTCCAGGAATGTACAAAAGTCTTAGAGCAGTTTTAACCTTTTAAAGCTTAAAATGCACAAAAGACCTTTGGGACATCCTATTTTTTTTTTTTTTTGGCAATTCATATCACATAAGACTGTAATTAATTAAATGGACAAATCAGTTTTAAGAGTTAATTTTATTCTTGTCTCCCCCATTCAGGTTGCTGCATCCTTCCTTACTTTCACACTTTAAAAGAACACAAGTATACACACACACACACACACACACACACACACACACAGAGTACTACTTAAACTATTGTAAAGCAGACAAAAACGAAGAATTTCTTAGGTCTGCATGAAAAATATAAATTGTCAGAAGAAAGATTTTTTATATCCAGTACTTTAAGATGTAAACTTTGTTGACAAGATCATTTACGTATAATTAAGAGGCAGCTGTGACAGTGGATAGACAGCTGGCCTCAGTCAGGGAGACCAGGTTTCAGGTCCTGCCCCTGACTCTTGGCAGCTGTATGACATTGGGTAAATCACTTTACCTTTCAAATGCTCTAGGCAAATTTCCAAGTCTATAAGTTGTGCAGTGAAGGTGCTAACCTGCATTGATAGAGGAACCCACAAATTCCCTATACCTGTGGAATCACAGGTTCAGTCCTTCTCCCTAGCCCTTAAGATCCTGCAATGTGATCACAAACTGGGGAATCTCATCTGCTGAACACTGATGTCTAATTACTTTAATTTGCAATGGCTCTTCTCAGACAAAATTAGGGCTCAATCAACAAACTGACACTAGCAAAAAAAAAATATTTTTTAAATGAAGCTTCAAAAGAATGAGGGTGCTAGGTGGGTAGGGAAGACATCTACCAAGAAGAGCCCACCAAAATGGTTCCTTCACAGTCAGTCCTCAGAAAAATAATACACCGTATACACTTGTGGGCACCCGAAAAGGGCATATGCAGACATGCAACAAATGCCCTATTATGACATACTCACCAGCCTGCTGGCTCATGAACAGAGTTGGTGACAGAAAGTATACTTTGTAGAAAAGAACTCAGGACTCAGTGGTATGATACTTCTTACCTACCAGTGGCCTGGTTGGAGGCCTTCAAATCACTCCAGAGACCAGGCCTGTATTGTTACACCAGGCGATATTCACAGTCCTCTAAAGTAAAAGTTTCCAGAAATCAACAGTTCTTCCAGAGATGTCTTATTGTATTCCCCTCTTCCCCTACCCTTCTCCCAAGGCTCCCCTACTTTAGCCAAAGAATGTCATCATCACTACTGATCATCATTGATCTGTCCAACTTGGCTGAGATGTAGCTCTGCTTGAGGGTGGGGCTTCTTAGCAGATGACCTCTTAAGGTCTTTTCCAGTTCTGGTATTCAAAGATTCATTTATTATTATTAAGGCAAATGAGACTGACAATTTAAAAGTCAATCAGAAAGACTGGTTGCTCAGGCAGAGAAACAAAACAAGGCTTTAAGTTGTACTTTATCTGGAACTTTTTTTTTTTTTTTTTGCTATTATGGTAGAGTTGCTGCCTCTTGTGATGCTAATTCCTAAGAAGTAAATGAAAGAAAGGGATGGTTACTTTTTGGGTCAAATATGGGGGAGAAAAATCACAAAATTCTACATTGTAATGGTGACTCCTTTTTGGGTGTAAGTTGAACTAGATGGTCACTCTAAAGATTCTGTGAAATCATCACAATTTCCTGTTTTCAAAAAATAGCCAGTTTGGGCAACAATGGTACATATGTCAGGTACAAAGACAAGCCAAATGGACAATAATTGAAAAGGAAGCTTAAGAGAGACAGCCAACTCTCCACAGAGAAATGCAAGAGGGTGGTGCCAGCTTCCAATTCTGACTGACAGATGCTTTCACTTTCAGAAAGCACCTGGTGGAGAGACATCCCACGAGCAGAGAATTCTCTCTCAGCTAGTTCTGGGAAAAGGGTATAAGAACAGAGGTGGGGACAGGATTCAGTCAAAGGGTAGCACTTGAGGACCTAGAAGGCACACTTAGCCTCAAGGCCACAGGTTCCCCACCCCTGGTACAGAAACACAAGTTAAAAATGAATGCATTCACAGAGTTTCCAAGATAACCACTTCATGTTTGCCAAACCATGTTTGCTGAATCCAAATGATCTCAAGGACACTCAGACAAGAGAAGGAAAAAGCAAATTAGTGAATGTTTAGAAACATCACAGTATTTTCTTTTTTTTAAGCAAAACTTATACCACTGATGAAACTTGAGATTACCTTGACTGACTTTAAACTATGAGAAAATCTTTGGGCTTGGATAGGAATATGGTGCTAGAAAGACGTGTAAAAGCTTTTGAATACAGACATCCATGCTGAGAAATGACATTTAAGTCAAATGCCAGTAAGCTAAAAGAATCATGTGTGATTCTATAGGAGTGCAAGTATTTGTCCAATGAGATTTTGGCTCATCTGGAGAATGCGTGCATAAGGCCCGATGGGTACTTGTCCCATCAATTCCTTAATACTAGATTTCCCTTTTCTTGTACTGGCCAGAATGCGAAGAGGAAGAAGGCAAAATGGAACGGGAAGCCTTCTACTCATATATACACTATAGACATTTGAACATTTTAAAAATCAGAACGTCATCTGGTTCTTTTTAAAGGTCTTAAATGAGACAGACAGACATGCAGAAGACATTCAAAACAGTGATTATAGCAGCTATTGATAGCAGGGAGAGGATGTGGGGGAGGCAAAAAAAAATGGTAAGTGGTTATATTCCTTAGGGTATTTTGTTCTATGTACACTTTTGGGGGTACAGGGGTGAGTTACAGTAACATGGGGATATTTCTCTCCCCATCCCTTTGTTAAAATTTCTTGTTTCCAAGCATAAATGTTCAATTTAATAAGACAACGCACAGTGTTATTTTCCTCCAGGCCTCTTGGGCAGTCATAACCACCACCAAGTTATTGAAGAGGTCACAGAACCAGGAAGCAGAGCTTGCCATCATGAGGGCCTGGTTTTCTAGTCTGGTGCTAACCATCAGCCATGCCAGAAAACCAAGAAGAGGGGAAAAAATAAATGGTAAAAATAAGTCCCTAGTACCATAGCTTTCTGCTTTCCAGAAAGGAGGAAATTAAAAGGGACACTTTCCATACCCTTCCCTCCCTCAACCTATCCTTTGAAAAAAGTTCCCAAACTCAGATATGTACAGTGGTAATAAGGTTTTTCAGTACAGTGGAAATAAAGTTCTTCATAAAAGAGAACAAAAAAGTAAATTTTCTAGATAAGAAATGAGCACATTTTCTAAGTTCTATAGGAGGGAAAGGGATTGGTTCTCCTTTTCACATCTAGAAGAGCTAGCAATTTCCCCTGCCTGGGTTTCATTCCATTTCTTTTAGGGTTCAAAATGAAAGAAGTTAAAAAAAACCCCAACACAATAATAGGCCATTTTGGTTCACTTTAAAAAGCATTATTTTACATTTCATTTAAAAAGTTAAAGTTTTTCCCAAAAGGAAAATAGCATGAGAATGCAGAATTCCACAATGCCAAGTGTCTCAAGGGATAGAACACTTAAGTATGTAGGGTGCCTGGATCAATTCCATGATCTTTTTTTTTCTTAATGCATAGTTTGAGTAGGGAAGAAAAAAGAAGAGATCCAATTAAAATTTTATACAAATGAACCCAAGTTCAGAAATAACACATAACTAAGAGACAACTGGTTTTATAACATGTAGCTTGGTGAAACCTGAGAGAGAGGCCTGTCACTAAAATTTCATTTAAAATAGCTTGTGTGCTTACAGCTGAGTTCAGATTAACACAGACGCGAATGGGAGATGCTTTCAGCTGTAATCATCCACTTCTTGGACATCTTTTAGGTGGCTGTGGGGCAGCTTAACCACTATTTTTAGGAGAAGCAGGGGAAAGGCAGGAAAAACTCCATTTTCCTTCTCTGGTCCAGGAAACAGAGAAGTTAATTTGTTAGCTAAAGACTGGATGGAGTCAGGGACTGCTGCTTAGCTCCTTCGAGAAGTCAGTCAGTCTTCACAGATGTCTCCACTGAATTGGAGATGAACCCAGAAACATCAACAATAAATAGCTTCAGCACATTCTTTCTGGACAGCAGATTTGTGATGAGCGGGAGGTCAAAGTGATGCTGACCCTGTGATAGAATACATCCTAAGGGGGAATGGGAGGAACAACAAAGCCCACCCCTAACCCCCTCAAAAGAAATCTCCCTTACTTCCCCAGTACAAACAAAGCAGCAAGAACAAGGAACTGCAGAAATATTAAACAGCCATCCCACACAGATTTTTTTTTTCCAGACAAACTCAAAACACTGAAGCATGGCCGGATTGTACAAACCATTTGCTTAAAAAAATATTTTTCTATTGTGTGAATAAGTTGAAATAAGAGTCTCCTTGACAGTGTTTGCCCCGCACAGGTAGACGACTTAAAAATGAACTCAGATTCTGGAGTCTCTCCCTTACTGCCCACCACACTCAGCTTTACTTCAATCTTCCTCGATGATTCAGGTTAGAATGACTGTTGCTTCCGGAAATACTGTCTTTTGGGTTCTGGAAGACATCATCAGGATACCACTGGTGTCATATCCCACAACTGTTTAAAAAAAAAAAAAGAGATCTCATGCGATGAACTACAATTTTATTGAGTTATTTAAAATATTTTATATCAATGTTAATATATCATATTAAGTTATGTTGTGTGATATATTTATGTAACAATAATAATAGCTAACATTTATATAGCACTTACTATGTGCCAGGCACTGTGCTAAGTGCTTTACGATATTGTATTTTATATTAATGTATTAATAAGTTACATTCATATCTGAATAATAAGAGTTGATCCTGTACCTCCTCCTCTACCCCCCCCCCCCAAAAAAAAAGCAGCTAGGTGAATTGGAAAGAACAGGGCACTTGCAATAAGGGGATCTGGGTTTAAATCCTGACTGTAATGTTTTAGCTGTATGTCCTTAGGCAGGTCATTTCATTTTTCTGAGTGCAGTTCCTGTACCTGTAAAAGGAGGGATAATCTCTACATTCTTATGTAGTTCTAAATCCAATGCTTCCTCTGAGCCTTTTCATTTAAGAGCTAAATCAAACTACAAAAACATAATTCTTAATCAAATAAGAATAAGGAAAAAGATTTGTTTTCTCCCACAACCAGTTTGGCCCAGGAAGAGAACACGACCAAAAGTGGGAACTTAGGGCCCATTTCAAAAATTCTCCAATACTGTTACCCATGGCCACTGGCGGTCAATTTTTGATTCTCAGGGAAGACATAAATGAGCACCCATTAGTTCTTTAAAGCAAGGAACTCCTCTGTTTTTCAAGACTGGGAAGCCCCTAGGACCATGTGATACTTAGAGAGGTCCTAGACTGCTGTTATGATAACCAATAATTCCAACAACTCACATTTCCATAGCACTTTAGATGCTAGCCTCCCACAACAGCCTTTGAAGCAGGGAGCACAACGTACTGTTATTCCCATTTTAGAGATGAGGAATTTTGTTTGTTGTTGTTTGGTCATATTTCAGTTGTGTTCGACTCTTTTTGACCCCATTCAGGGTCTTCTTGGCAAAGATACTGGAATGGTTTGCCATTTCCTCCTCTGACTAATTTTACAGATGAGAAAACTGAGGCAAATAAGGTGAAGTGACTTGCCTGGGATCACACAGCTAGTAAGTGCTTGAGGCTGGATTTGAACAGAGGAAGATGAGCCTTCCTGACTCTGTGTTCTATCCACTGAGCCACCTATCTGCCCCTAGAGATAAGGAAACCGAGACTCAAATGCTAATAATGGCTTACCCATTGTCATACAGCTAATACGAAGTGTGGGAGGTGGGCTTTGAATTCAGGTCTCCCTTGACTCCAAGTTCAAATCACTTTGCTATATTGCTACTGTCTCTCTGGGTGGAGCAGGACATAGCTACCATTTTTTTAAATTAGAAAAAACACTAGCTTTTTGATTGAATGATTGCTTTCACTGTAAAGAGGGACCTTATTTATTACTGTTTCCATCAGGAAATGGTGAATTTCCATTTTTTTTTCCAGAGAATCAAATTCACCCATTTACTATTTGAATAACTAAACAGAGCTTCCTGCCAATCATTTCTAGTTTAATAATTTAATATCTTCTTTTAAAAACCACATTTAATGTTTTTCCTTCATTTGCTTCATGCCTCAATTTTAGAATTCACTAAAATATATTTTATATTGGTGATTAGAAGTGGTAGAAGAAGGGTGGGTGGGAAACAGTATCATTTTTAGTCAATTCATCCACTGTATTCAACTATTAGAAGAGTGGAAAAACTGACCCATTAAGTGCTAAGTTAGCCCATTTTGCCATATGAACAGAAGATATTTCTTTCTCAGTCTCTTTTTACCCTACCCCGTCACCTTATCTTCTCCCCTCACTCTCCCACATCTACTTCACCCACCTCTCAAAGAGTTCTTTTAAAAAAAAGTTTAAATTAATATCTTTTGTTTTTATATTGCCTTAATTTCTAAATAATTTCTTCCTTACCCCAATAGCCATGCCCTCTTCACTCCATCAGAAGATATTTCTGTAGGAAAGATTTTATCTATGATCTTAATCACAGGCACGCCAACCCACAGTGATCTTACCTCCCATTAAAACGTTAGAGTACTTATTGAGAAATATGTCTGTGATTTCACCCACCTGGGGAGCCCCTGGTGAGGAATTTCTCCAACCAACACAAATTAATACCTACTCTGCCAATCAATCTTTGAGAGCTGCTGGAGGAAATGAGGTGACTTGACCAATGGACCACATCCATATGTGATAGGGTGGGACTTAACTTAAACCCACCTGACGGATCCAGTCTTCTACTCACTATGCTACACAAACTCATTATGACATTTATGTTTTATAATTTGATGAATGCTACCAAGAAGTAGAGACTGGACCTGTGATTTCACTGGCTAAGGAACTCCTCATTAGGAGATTCCTTTCTACCAAAACAGGTTGACACCTTCTCTGAAATTTATTCTCTGAGAGAGTGTGCTTAGAGCAGTGGTGTCAAACAGATACCGGCCACATAGTGACAGAAAAAACCACAGATTAACATTATCTATGCTGAACTGTATTTTTATGTATTTTGAGAAATATTTCCCAATTACATTTTAAATCTGGTTCGGGGCCACTTGGGAACTTTGGGGAGTCAGAGTTTGACAATTCCTGCCTAGAACATTGAGAGGTTAAGTGATCTGCTCAAGGTAACACAACCAGTATGTATTAGAAGCAGGACTCAGGTCTTCCTGGCTCCACCCATTGCGGATGGAGCATCCATCCTTCATGGAGCCACATATAGTTGTGTACTTTGTTATATGTGTATTCTATCAATTCAACCAAAATGTAAGTTCTGAGAGGGAAAAGATTGCCTTAAAATCCCTACAGCTCATTACCACTGCCTATGCAAAGTACGTGGGAATAATGCTGATCATCTGCATATTATCTCATGAATCAGAGATGCTGCTACCACATTACATCAAAATGAAAAAGGGAAAATTTTAACATAAAAAATAAACTGACCTAAGATGATCTCTTACCTTAATAACTTTGTCTGTTCCACAAGTCAATAACCATCCTCTGGTTGCATCAAAATGTACATGAACAATATTATGTTTACTGTCATGGAAGGTGGCTGTGGGTGCGCGTCTGGAAGGAAAAAATATATCTATTTAGTTGGCAAAAGACACATATGTATGCATGTGTTTATATACATGCACATATATTATACACACACACATATATTGTAAGCATAATTAGGAATAAACTTGGATCTCATTGTTAGCTATCTACAATAGTCTTACTTTCAGAAGGCCACTGCTAGAGACTTCACAAGATCTGACTTGACTTTATGGTACCTCAGTGCCTAGCACATAGTAAGTACTTACTACCTGTTTCTGGATAATATCTTTTATCAAGTAATCATTGGTAATATGTCTTTCATATGCCTCTCCATTGCCCTCTGGGTCACCCACAAATCTGATTTCTTTAGAGATTGTAGTGTTTAGTGATTTGAAGCCAGATAGCAGCATGGGAAGAATATTAGTGCTAAAAAGATGGATTTTTTTTCTGTGCAAGGAAGTAGGTAGGTATCATTTCAAATGTTCTACAATTTCCCAATTAGCCCATTCTCTTCCTCCTATTCAAAGCTGAGCTCAGTGCATTCCACCTGCATGGGCTAACCAAGCTTGACTAACTCTGGGCTTTCCATCTAACTACCCTAATTACTACCCTCTCTGATTGGAAGATAGGGGCATGAACTCCAAACCTTCATTTAAGGAGAATGCCTAGCCCAGACACGTCTCATTTCTCCCTGGCTGCCCTATGGGACTTGTTTGATTTATTTCAGCATGCTCCCATAGGCACTTTCTCCTTCTGCCTATCTCTACCTCCCCCTTCCCCGGCCAATTTTCAGCCTTCTATCGAGTGTTGTTTCCCCCCACTAGACTGTAAGCTTCTTGATAGCAAGGACTGTCTCTCCTTGCCCCCCCCCAAATTTCTTTGTTTTTGGGGGGGGGGCTGGGCAATGGGGTTAAGTGACTTGCCCAGGGTCACACAGCTAGCAAGTGTTATGTGTCTGAGGCTGGATTTTAACTCAGGTCCTCCTGAATCCAGGGCCGGTGCTCTACCTACTGCGCCACCTAGCTGCAACCCCCCCCAATTTCCGTATCCCTAGCACTTACCACAATGCCTGGCACATGGTAGGTGCTTAATAAATGCTGATTGACTGACTAAAGGTTATAGTCTAAATAAGAGAAATTCTTTATCCATTTAGTGTGGATTTTTAGGTCTTTGTAATAGTCATGGATCTCACTGAAAATAACAACTATTACTAACATAAGGAATACCCCACTTCTCATCCATTTGGAAGATATATTACATGACAATCAATTAACTGACAAGCATTTATAAGTTCCTACTATACATCTGGCACTGATAAGTGCTAGAGATATCAATATACAGAATGAAACAATGTCCACACTCATGGAGGTTAAATTCTATCATAGATTGGTGGAAAACTTTGATGAACAGACACACTTCCCTATTGTCATGCCTCATTTGATGTTGACAAGATCAGAGGACAAAGTTATTTCTGTGGCCATTTCTAACCCAAACCATTGTATGACTTTAATATATGCTGAAGAAATGCCTTGTTGGAAAGAGAGCCTGAATTTATTTCACTAAGACAAGTACTTAAATTAACCAACCAGCAATAAACATAGCAAGTTTTTGCAGCTGCTTTTCTGTCAATAAGTGATGCAGTCTTCTATGGGAAATTATTTGTGAAAACCTGCCTCTTCCCTCCACATATTTTCTTCAAGGATACCCTTTGAAATGTGTACTTCATTCTCATCAAGATTTTTTTCCCCTTTTCTTAAAATAGTATTGTATTTTTTCCAATTATGTGTAAAGACAATTTTTAACATTCATTTTTTATAAAATTTTTAGTTCCAAATTTTCTCCCTCCCTCTCCCCTAAGATGGTAAGCAATTTGCTTTAGGTTATATAGGTGCATATTAGTCATGTTGTATTATAGTTTTCAAAAGGAAAAAAAAACACCAAAAAAGGTGAAAACAGTACCTCATCAAGATTTTTCTTGAAAGATGAGAAAGTAGACATCCGTAGTTATTAATTTCTAACTGAGAGTCTTTGGCTGGGGATGGGATGGGGTGGTAATTATACTATTCTGGGTGTTTTCTAATCATTCAGCATCTTCTTTTGAGTTATGTTAAAAAAAAAAAACTTTCAGTGTTTTCCAAATTGGTTCACCTCAAGTCTTGGCTGTCATATTTCTCTGCTTAGAAAGGAAAATAAAGTGTCTGCTGGATGAAGCCGTTTCTGGGACCTTTTGTATTGGGAAGCTTCTGTAGGACAGGGTGATAGTCTGCATTTATGTGGATTTATTATTAATGTTATTAATAATAACATTTTTAGATTGCATTTTTACAATTTACAAAGTCCTTTCTTCAGAATAACCTTATAGGCCAGATAGTGCATATATCATCCTTACCCTAAAAACTGGAAAATGGGTTTAAAGAACTTTGTCATCTTACTAACAGTCACAGAACTAATAGAAGTCAGAGCTGGGACTCAGTGTCATCAGGAGGAGAACAGTGAAAACTTGAACATTGTTCAGAAGGGCAATTAAAATGGTGATAGGACCTGGAATCGTGCCACACAAGAATTGCTTGAAAGAATTGGGGACATTTATTTTGGAAAAGGTTAAGGAGGAGTGTGAATGATAGCTGTTATCAAGTACTGGAATGGAAGTTCTATGGAAGAGAGATTAAATTTGTTCCAAGGCACAGATGGTAGAACATTGGGTAGAAATTCTGGAAAGGCAAATTTAGGCTTAGTAGATATAAAGACAACATTTTTAATAATTAGAACTATCCCACTTAGCAGGTAGTTGATTTCTCCTAACTGGAGGTTGTCTAGAACAGCGCTTCTTAAACTGTGGGTTGCGACCCCATAAAATCTGACAACAGTAAAAGGTTTCTGAATGCGCAACGACCAAAAATTAGTTAAAAATCAAACCTGTAATGAATCCAACGTGTTTCTAGCAGTGCTTGCCTGTGTTCAACTTCACTGCAGCCTTGGTTCTGAACACAAAGCATGTACAGTCTGCACGGTGCATGCCCTCAGGCCACCAACACCACTGAATGTCACACACAAGTTGAAAAATCTTAAGAAGTCCTGCTCTAGCAGAGGCTGACTATTTGTTGAAAAGGAGGACACCTGTTGAGGTGTAAGGATGACGCGACACCTAAGGATCCTTCCAACTCAACAACCTTAGTCCTTCCTGTCAGGATGATCCCCCACCTGTGGTCACTGGAACCAAGGATGTGGCAGAGGCTGGTGACTGGAGCAGCAGTCCAGTGATTCAACCTATTCAGACCTGGGTAAGGAAAGTGTCCTAGATACCTAGTATCTATTAATAGTATTAATATTCATACCTAGCTATAATTTCTAGTATCTATTCATAGTACTAATACTATTGCCCTTTTTGTTTTTGCCATATAAACCTTCCAACTATTTCACAACCATCTAGAACTTATTTAGTTTTGTTAAAACACAACAGGAAAACACATATGATGGAACATTAATATCCAGGAGAAGATGTCATGGAAAGGAGCAGAAAAGCTTCTACTACAAACATGATGGCTTTTTACAAAACCACACAAAGTCTGACATTTGCTTCTGTAATTGAGCGGCTACAGCATCCTCAGACACCACCTAAGGTTCACTGCCAGCTTGGAGAGCCCTCCACTCAGCTGCCTAACAGTTGTGCTCATGGCTTTTACTCATCAAAACTCTTGTTTCCGGGTTTGCCCAGTTCAATACAAGATGGAGGGCCATCCTCTCGTCTCCTCAAAGATCACTGATGTATTAAAGAAGCAGACTCATGTGTTTCCCCCCCATGTACCATTCAGTCAGTCAACAAACTTTTATTAAGTGCCTGCCATGTGCCAGGAGCTATGTTAAGCCCTGGGAATAAAGACAAAAAGGCCAGCCTCAACAAGCATCACAAAATGCAAATATAAATTGAATATTAATCCCTTGCTTCTTACCATTAAAGAAAAAAAGAGGAGACTTGTAAGACATTTAAGGCATGACAGAGACTTTGGGAAAGATGTCTTCACCATCACCTAAAATACTAAGCTCTAAATTTCTATAATTGAGTAAAGGTTTATGTTGAAGAATTTTTTTAAAGCAATAACTTTTAGAAACTCAAACTAAAGAAGACAATCTTCTGTTCACATTTTAAACATTCTGAGACAATAAAACAATCACTCCAATACTGGGTTAAGCAGAAATACCAGAGGATGCTGAGACAAAGAGAAAATAGTTGCAGAATAGGAGTCAAGAGACTTGAGGGTTAGGCTAGGCTCTGCCAGCAGCAATTCATATGACCCTGGGCAAGTGGCTTTACTTCTTTACTTCTGTGTCTCACCTGTAAAATGGGTCTCAGTTATAAAAAGGTTGGACTAAGGAGACCCATGTTGGCTTCTAGCTCTAAAGTTCAATCGTGAGAAAACAGAATCCCACTAAAGCAAAAATCAGTTTGTTCATTTCATCATGGGAAGGTGAATGGGAGGGAAGATAATAAATGAGCAGAACTGCTGGTTAAATCTGGCTATTAAAAAATGGAATTATTAACAGAAATACTCTACTATGTACCTGGTAAGTGAAAACCAGAACTTGGAAAGCAGACAAATTAGGGTCGATTATTTGCATTACAAAAGGATTCTTCAAGTTTGTACAGCACTCGCTACAGATTCCTTTTAGATAATGAACTGCTAGAGTACATATAAAATATCATTCAATTTACAGTACATCTACTGCATCAAGTGATTTTTGACTCTCCAAGATGCTGGGGTAAGAGGGGGAGGGAGGGCCTAGGGAATGAAGTATTAATTTAGGTTGTTTCTTTTTAAAATATGCATAAGAAAAAACAAAGCACTCCATGGGATTCATGAAAAGGCAGAATGATTTCCAGGGTGATATGTGTACTTTTTATTTTTTTTTAATTAGACAACCTTAAATAAAGGGTAGCTCAAATGTTGGGACTGGTCCCCCAAAGTCCCTAGAATGTAATAACCTAGTGTGTATAGCATGGCTAATGGGAAGAATTATAGGAGCAGGTAATCTGAATAGCTAGGCAAATAGGTATTTGTCTTTGGAGGTGGAGAATAAGCAGCATCCTTTTGGAAAATTAAATCTATTTCCAATCTTATGGCCCCAGTGAAGATCACATGTTGGTCAAGAAAAAGATTCACATGCCCTTTCCATCTGGACAAATTACAGCAAGGCATAAGACAAAATACAGCAGGCATCTCAGCATTCTTTCTGTAATGGCAAACTGTCTGTAAAGATTTGCTCAGAGAGTACATTTAAACTGCAGAAGTGCAAGCATCCTGCAGTTTCCACTACTTGGACTGAGAATGGCAAAGGGATGGAGCTCTTCGAGGACCTACCACAAACTGCTTTGTTGTAGAGGAAGGTGAGAGAACATCTCGAGGATGTATTTTATCAGAGACTGTGGTATATCTTCTAAGCTGGCTGCTATTAAGACAGACAGACAATACTTTGGGTCCTCAGTTAACTGCAGCTACCACATCTGGCTCTTTTTACTTGAGTAATACAACATGCCATTGAGACTTACTCTTCATCCGTGATGGACTCGTGACAGCTGTCACAGACTCTCACTTCAAATTCAAAGCCCATCAGTGGGATGGAGGAACGCTTAGAGCTGCATTTGCCACAGACGGCCTTCCCACACTTCCTACAGTGGTGCTGGAAAAAGGAACAAGAGACAGAGACATTCAATATGGTCACCACCACACCTTGAGCCAGGGCCCTGCCCACTGCCTGCCAGAATCACGTATGGACAGCAAAGCCCAAAAGTGAAATGACTCATCCCTGAAATGGCCCATGATGGTGATAGAAATATGAGAAGGGAGTCTAGCCGGATTCTATCTGCTGTCATCTGTTTACTCAGAAATGTAAATATCAGCTCCTATGGATGAGGACCATTTGGTTGCCTCAAACCTTCCCCATTACAACATTCTGGGAATTACTGAAGGAGAAGGAACCAGCTTAATGCTGCATCTCCTAAGGGCGTTCCATTGCTAGGGATGATCAGGATTGGTTTGATGAAGAATGTGAGATGAAGACGACTTCAATTTTACGAGTAATCTAATGTTTGTCTCCTCTGAGAAAAAACAAGGCAACAATGGAGAAGACTGTGCTATGAGCAAACTTAAGGGCTGAAATTAAGAGAACATGGAAAGGGGAAAAGAGTGTTCTTTGCATGAATTTGCCCCTTAGTGTGGGATAAAAGTTCTTGCTTTCTATACTCTTCAATTTGGAGATTTTTTTCAGTAGACATCTCTTGAGTTCATCAAAAAGTTAAGTCTTTGCAATATGCAAGGCATTAAGGAGAACATAAATGACCTTTGCCCTCCAGGATCTTATATAAAAGGAAGACTAAGCCATGTGCATTGGACAGATACGATTCAGAGCAGAAAAAAACTAGACCAGCTGAAGTGCTGTATGTGAAGAGGGAGGGAGACTAAGTGGATAAGTGACTACATTTTCCTACAACTGAATGAACTATAATAGGCAAAGTGTAACTGAGAGGAATTAATTTTAGTCACAAGGTGACTCCTTTTCCCTGAAAATTTTCCAAAATAACCCGATAAGATAAAGTTATTCAGTGTGTGTGTATATGTGTGTGTGTGAATGTGAAGTACCCAATGAACTGACCTGTCTCAAGCCAATTTTTTTACTGTCCCACATTTGCTTGAAGTTCCAGAAGAAAGGCTGGTCACACTTCTGACAGGAATCACTGTCCAACCATTCAGGAGTCTTGTCAACAGAAAACACAAATAGGAAAGGCTACAATGACAATCAGTTTTCAATGGATGCAACTGAAATAAATTCACTGATCCACAAGCATCAATGCTACCTGAGTATCAACAAGACAAAACCCAAACAGTCCTTGTCCTCAAGCTTACACTCTTTTGGAAGGAGGTGGGGTTGGGGAAACAAAATGATCACAGAATAAAGTAAACAGGGCAGAGATAGGGCCTGGACCTGGCTTTCAAGGGTGTCAAGTACTCCCAGATGAGGAAAACGCCTTGTAACAATGCAGTCCTCTTTGAAAAACTGTAGAGAGCTCCATAGGATAGAGGCATTAAACTCAAGGGAGCTCAGACCCTGAACAAGATTAAAATAAAAAATTAAAAGTAAAACTGGGAAATGTTTAACAATATAAATAAACAACCAAAATAGATGTTAATATGTGGTTTTCTAAGCTAGTATGTGTCTGGGATCCATTCGAGTCTGACCCCACTGGCCTAGAGCACTGAGAGATGAAGAGCCAATGTCATGCAGCCATATTATATTCTAAGAAGATCCATCAATGTTGCCAGAATTCCCAAGGGTCCTTGATATAAAAAGGGTTCCTTGCTTTAAGAACTGAATTAGCTACTGGAAACCTAATACTTTAGACCAAGGTTGGCGCTACTATGTTATCAAGACAACCTATAATTCTGTGATATAAATGGAGAGAGAAATATCAGTTTTTTTAAAATAATAAAGCAGGTGTTGAAAAGTAGGAAACAGAGGCATTTACACAGCCAAGTTTGACCATTTCTAAATGCAAGCAGGTCACATTGTGAAAGATGACCAAGCAGGTAATTAAAGCTGTTAAGAGAGCAAAGCTTCTCCTAGATAGAGGAACATGCTATAAATACCCTTACTGAGGACCAGAGGCTCACAGAGCTAAAACTGGAAGGCACCTTAGAGGTTATTGTGTTCACCCCCACTTATTTTACAGATGAGGAAACTGAAGCCCAGGGAGTTTAAACAGATCGCCAAAGTCCAACAGGCAGTAAGTGGAAGGGCCAGGATTTGAACTTGGGGTCCCTGGTCTATAATGCAACGCTATGCCTCACTTTTCTGTTAATGGTGTCAAGATGTTTTGTCTTTTTTTGGGTGGGAGACAAATATTTAATGATATTTTACTGTACTTTTACTTATCCCTCACTCCAAAGAATGATTTTTTAAAACAACAAATATTAAAAAAAAAAAAGAATAGAGAGAAAATTTAGCATAACCTATCAAACACACCTAAAAAATCCTTTGTTTTATGCAATGTTCCACGCCTCTGGGCCCCCATTGCTGCAAAAGAGTGGGGGGAAGAGACATTTTCAGATAGTTCTTCTTTGGGGTGAAGCTTATTCTTTAGTTTCACAACATTCAGTTTCCTCTAACATTTTTATTAGTCATTGTGTATACTGTTCTCCTGGCTCTGCTTTGCATCTGTTCATGTAAGTCTTTCTATTCTTCTCTGTATTCATCACATCTGTTGCTTCTTATAGCACAGTAATATTTCCTTACATTACTGTCCCACAATTTGTTTAGCCTTGCCCCTTATCTTTGTTTCCACTTCTTTGCTAATATGAAAAGTGCTACTATCATTATTTGGGGGCATATGGAGCCTTCCTTTTGTCAGTGATCTCTTTGAAGGGTATATGCCTATCAGCGGAATCTCTGGATCAAATATTATCGACACTATAGTCACTTTGCATATTTCCAAAAAGCCTTCTAGAATAGTTGTAACAATTCATAGCTCTATCAACCAAGCATTAGTATGTCTGCTTGTCTTTCTACGACTCCCACAAAATGGACTATTCTCATCTTTTGTCATGCTCAGGGGTATTTTTCAAGAATAAAAATTTTACAATTTCCCACTACAAAACAGTAATGCTGACTTTAATTAGTTACTAATAGAACTCCTGTGGATTAATGGATTGAACAAATAAAGCTTTAATCTTCTTAAGCATTTAAGTAATGACACTTAAAAGGTATTACACTGCCAATAATAACAGCTACTCTTACAAAGTGGGAATGGAACAGGGAGGTATGAAGTCATGGGGCTGCCTCTGTTGTCTTTCTAAGTGTAGCTCTCCTCCTATGGCCTTTGTGCATACATAAAGAAACAAATGACAAAGACAAGATTATATATGTAATGGCTAATTCTTCTTAAAAACCAGCCTAGAGAAACGGGAAAATGATAATTACAAAGCTCGTATCACAGTAAACTTTGGTGGAAAAATAACTGTAAAACCAAAAGGTATTTCCTCTCAAAAAAATTATCATTTGAGAAGAATGCTGTTGCTTTCTATTTAAAAATGACCTATCTAGATCCCCCAAATATGTCTATTTGGGAATGAGTTTAGCACATAACCACTCAAGTGGAAGTATGAGAATCAGTGAATTTGGAAACCATCTTAGTGATTTTTCCTGTTCAAAAGAGTCAAGTATCTTAACATTCCCAAATAATATTTCTCAAACACTTACCAACTATTTCCCTAAATAACATCATAATTTCCCTCAATAACAGAAAGTACTTGAGCATTCTATTTTGGTAGCATGTCTTAACACTGCACAGAACTAATCACCTTAAAATAGACATTTAGTTTTCCCTACAAACATTTTTATTGCTAGTGGGAGAACAAGCCCTAAGTGATGAAACCTCTTAGTCAGGAAAATCAGAGTTCTTTTGAAATCTCTCTGCTCCATTGCAGCATTAATTAATTCCACACCCTGACTCTTCTATCCCTAAAGGATAATGAATGATGGGATTTCCCCCTACCTGCTGACTTAATTCTGACATCCATCATAACATTATCCTTTATGGGTTTAATCATGAAAAACTGCAGGGTTGCCTCAGTATAACTTTGGCTCATGGGGCTCATTCTCCCTACTGTTGAAGGAGTCGCTACCAGAGGCCTACCTCTTGCCTCTGGACATCCATGTTCCAGACCACAATGCCACCATCTCCTCCACATGAGATGAGCTGTCGAGTATGTGGAGCATAGGAGAGAGCCTGGACTTTGTCACTGTGAAAGAAATGGAGTATTAGTGGTAGGAAAGGATGGATGGCAAACTAAGGCCTTGAGATAGAAGCTTTCATTTATTCAGCACCTACTATTAAGCACCATTTATTTATTTATTTTGGTGGGGGCAATTGGGGTGAAGTGACTTGCCCAGGGTCACACAGCTAGTGAGTGTTATGTGTCTGAGGCCAGATTGGAACTCGGGTCCTCCTGACTCCAGGGCCAGTGCTCTATCCACTGTACCACCTAGCTGCCCCAAGCACCATTCATTAAGTACCTACTATGTTACACACACACACACACACACACACACACACACACACACACACACAATGTTATATAACATGTTGTGCCAGGTCTGAGAGAGGAGCAAAAATAAATAGTATATGGTGTTTGTCCTTAAAGTACTCACTCCTTAGCTTCCCAGGTTTCCTTTAAGACTCATATCAAAGGGGCAGCTAGGTGGCACAGTAGATAGAGCTCTGGCCTTGGAGTAAGGAGGATCTGAGTTCAAATCCAGCCTCAAGACACTTGACACTTAATAGCTGTGTGACCCTGGGCAAGTCGCTTAACCCCAATTGCCTCACCAAAAATGGAAAAAAAAAATACTCATATCAAATCCGACCTTCTACAAGCGGCCTTTCCTGGTCTGCGACCCTCCACCCCCTTTCCTCAGAAATTACATTCACATTTTTGTTTCCTCTAGAATGTGAGTTCCTTGAAATCAGGAACTGTGTTTTTTACCTTTCTTTGTATCCCCAGTACTTACTAACACAATGCCTGGCACAGAGTAAGCCCTTGGTAAATGTTTTGATTCACAATCAAAAGTATAATAAAAATTGGAATAGGATAAGCATGTAAAAGATGTATAAAAATTCTATAGGATCATATGAACGGGGGTGTAGGGAGGTGGGAATCACTTCTAGCAATGGAAACCAGGATGCTAGCATTGAGTTGGGCCTGGAAGGATGGCTAGGATGTCAAAAAAGCAGAGATCTCAGGAAAATCAAGCAATTTTAACCAATAAGCACATACTTGTTTGTCCCCAACTCCAGCTCTTGTTTGTGATATCTGAAGCTACTCTCAAATAACTAATAACCTCATTTTTGGCGGGTAGCAAATGAACTTAGCCCTTGTCAAGGTGGGGCTGTTGACTGAGTTTCTGGTCATTGCACTGTCTAAACTGTCAGACGAGGATGTTCCCAGCTGGAACCTATCTTGTCTGGCTCCAACATTACTGATCCATGACCTCAGGACCTGTGATGCCCCTACACATGTGTGTGAAAGCAAAAGGGAAACTACACCAGGCCAAGCAGATCTGTTTACAAGCTTCCCTTGATTTGGTTACTAGGACCACAATTCATTTGTTAAAAGCATCCTCATATATACAGGAGGTAAAATAAAACCAAATTAAACCATGGAAGGAATTACTTTGATATTCCTAACTGGCAGCAAAATGCAGCAACCACATGACAAATTTATAATTCATTTGACTGCACAATGAGCCAGTGACTGTTAATAATCAAAGGCAGAGTTCAGGGGTCAAGCCCTCCAGCAGTTGCCTGACCACCCGTGTTAATAAAGCTGCATTGGGACTTCTTCACTTAGGAATAAAACAACCTGCAGAGTAAAGCAGGCTTCCTCTCAGTCAACTTCCCCAGTTCTACAGATGAAAGATTATAAGGAATTAAAATATTCCTTCCTTCTCCCCTCACGTGCCAAGTGATATCACAACAGGCTCCCATTCTAGAAAGCACCAACATAATGGCCTTTGTTCAGTCGTTTTTCAGTCGTGTTTGACTCTTTGCAACCCCATTTGGGGTTTTCTTGGTAGAAATGCTAGAGTGGTTTGCCATTTCCTTCTCTAGCTCATTTCACAGATGAGGAACTGAGGCAACCAGGGTGAAGTGACTTGCCCAGGATCACATGGCTAGGAAGTGTCTAAGGCCAGATTTGAACTCAGGAGGATGAGTCTTCCTGATTCCAGGTCAGCTGCAGACACTTTATTCACTGCACCACCCAGGTACCCCCAACACAATGGCTATCATTTCATAGAAACCCCCAGGAGAACAAAAGCTTGGAGCACAAAGAAACCCATTTCATACAACCCCTAGGATCAGCTAGGTCCTAGGACTATACAGTGGCTAGTCCTTCTAATCTCCTTTACCATCAAGCCTATAGGCAAAGTGTAAGGAGATCCTTCCAGAAGAAGGACAAAAGAATCTGAATCTTCCTTACAAAAAATAGACCTAAGAAAGGCTAGGATCTGGGAGAATGATAATTTCCTCTTAATCCCCAGGCATTATGTAGAGGCAACTCATTAAGAATCCGGTGAATACCGAATCTAATTCATGACTCAAGAGCAGGTTCTAAAGTCTTTAGGGTCCCAGCCGGGTCTATAAACAACCCAATCTTAGGGAGTTTTCTAGACTTCTAAGGCTCACTTAGATGTATAGAGGATTCAAGAACTTTCCTACTTAACTTAGGGATCCTCAAGAGCAGTTCTTTTTTTTTTTTCCCTAGGCAATTGGGGTTAAGTGACTTGCCCAGGGTCACACAACCAGTAAATGTCAAGCATCTGGTCTAAGGCCGCATTTGAACTCAGGTCCTCCTGACTTCAGGGCTGGCGCTCTATCCACTGCACCTAGCTGTCCCATCAAGAGCAGTTCTTAACCCTTTTTGTGTGTTCTGGATTCCTCTGGTCATCTGGTAAAGCCTATAAGACCACTTTTTGGAAATGTTTTTAAATTTATGAAATAAAATACATAGGACTGAAAGTAAATAAATTATATTAAAACAGTTATTTTTTAAAAGGTAATTAACTATAGGTTAAGAATCCCTGCTACAGAACAAGGTAAGATTAAACTTGAACCCCAGGCCCCCAAACAAGTCCCATAGTCCTGGAGTGTGAGATTGAAGCATTCTTTGTGCTTAGTGTACATCAGTAATGAATGCCAATGACAGGTTGTGTCTCTCAAACATTGGTAATATACTACTGGTAACAGAAGATAGACAGACAGACGGATGGATGGATGGATGGAACCAACATTTCTTAAGCACCCACTATGTGCCAGGCACTGTGCTAAGTGCTTTCACAAATACTACTCCTTTGATCCTCACAACAACCCTGGGAAGTATATGTTGTTGTTGTTATTATTATTATTATTATTATCCTCATTTTACAGTTGAGAAAACAGGGAGACAGAGGTTAAGTGTCCTGACCAGGGTCACAGAGCTGGTAAATGTATGAGACTAGATTAGAAATCAGGTCTTCCTGACTCCAGGCCCAAGTCTCTGGGAGCTAAAACACTTAACTCCTTCAGATAGAAAGACACGAAAACATACAGAAATATACCCTCAATGTGGCATAGGTAGAGATGATGGAAATATCACAGTTAGAACCCTTGAATCCAGATCCAGACTTGATTTAGTTTATGTCACTGACAGTTCTCAAGTTTATACTCTATGATAACTAACATTCCCCAAATCTCAGTGGTATAATAATTCAAGAAGATTAATAATGAAAGAGAAATTTATAATCCCATTATAAACCCAATGCATTGTGGTCACTTGTATTTTTCCTTACTCTTGTGACTGGATGAGATGACTCAATTTTCCCATCATCTTCAAATATGGCTTCTTGGTACAAAGGAGAGAATGACCAATTTTCCCAAGTTTATTAATGTCATTAGGCTTTGTTAGGCTTTTTCATGAATAGTGCCAAAAGGAAAAAAACTTGCTAGTTTTAGACACGGTTAATCTACAATTATTTGATTTTGTTTTAAATCAAGGTACCATTTAATATAATTAAAGAAACTAAGATATTAGGAAAAATAGCTACAAAGTATTAGAGATTGTTAACCTGAAACTGATTAAGAAACTGAGTATTTTGTAAGAATGGAAATTGATACATACATTAGAGTTGCTGATTTTGTAAATGTCTAGTGAAGTATTTCTACAACACCTATCAGATGCTCTGACAAAATAACTAATACATTAGATGAAAATAGCCAGAAATAGAGGAATCCTTTCTTTGCTTCTCCTCCCACAGTGCAATCAGTATGTTTCCCCATTTGCAGCAAAGGAAATGAAAGCTTGAATACACTATGATCGCAAATGATATTATAGAGAAATATATTTTTGTGTATGGTTTTACTCAAACCTAAAAGTATTTTAACATGAGTCAAATTATGTCTTCACTACTGCCTAAATCAACTTTATACTAAGATGAGATTTCTACATAGCAACTAAGACAGCTAAATCGATTTTTGATTTCTGAAAATTATCCTTGAATTAAAACAAGAAAAATAAAAAGGTTTGTTATTTATGCTCTTAGGAAAAGCTACTTGATAGTTTTCAGTAAGATGACAATGTGTAAACTTTAATAATTCTTAAAATTAAAGTGAATAACCAAAATTCAGCAAGTAGTCTTACCAGTAGTTATTCCTTCAAAATGAGGCTTCCAAAAACTGTTTTATTCTAACTAAAATACACAATAGCCAATTTAATAGCCTAATCAGAAAGCATTAAATTCAGTGTCATTCATACTGTGATACTGCATCCCTCATAACTTATCAAGGAATTTTCTAATTCAACTTTTTGACAGTCAGCAAGTTCTACAAATAGTAAGGTGAATTATGTTTTATTTAGAAGGCAATATGTAATACTAGAAAGAGCAATGGCTCTGGAGTCAAAGGAATTTTAATCCTGCCTAGGATGATTACAACCTGTATGACATTGGGGGAGTCCCTTAACTTCTCTGGGGCTGTTTCCTCATCTGTGAAATGTAAGTGATGGACTGAATGGTCTTTGAGCTATCATCCTACAATTCCATGACAAGACCCATAAAAGGTATAGTACTAAGCAAGTCAGGGTCTGTGGTACATACAGTATAGTGGACAGAGCACTGAACAAAGAGGAGCTGGATTCTAGGTCTGGTTCTTAGGAACCATGCAGATTTGGTTGCTTACCAACTCTTTGGACCTTCATATTCTCTCTGAAAAATGGGCAATAAATATTTCCCTCCCAGGTATGTGAAGAGTAAATGAAATAATGTATATTTTAGAAGTACTTGGAAAAAAAATTAAAAAAAGAAAAGACACCTTAACAAATGAACAGTTTCATTATGCATCAACAAAGTAGCCATTTTTCTTTCAAGAGTGGTGGAAGTACTCATATCCCTTCCTCCTGACATCTGTTCTTTGGCCCTGCTTCCCAGATGCTTTCTTTTGGCTGTTGCTAACTCTATTTTATTTCTTCCAACAGCCTCTTTAGCCCAATAAAAAGGCTATGCTTCCACCCAACCCACCTCCTGCAGGAAGCCTTTCTGGATCCCCTTCATGCTAATTAGCTAATGCTAATGCCTTCCCTCTAAGACCACCTCCAGATTAGCCTGGATATCTGCAAATAGATGTCCTATTTGTACCTGGTGGTTAGCATATTGACTTTGCCATTAGAATGGATGCTCCCTAAGGGCAGGGGCTGTCTTGCCTTTCTTTGTATCCTTATGACTGGAACACAGTAAGCACTTAATAAAAGGCTGGACACTTGACCTACAAGCCTGGACTTAAGACCCACTAAAGCAAGAAGCACATTTCTGGAGCTCCAGCTAAGCTCTTTTAACATAGAGGATTTCACATGCTAAGGCCTAATCAGTGACTGAGCAAGGCCCTTTACTGCAGCCTCCAACTGAAAGGTTTGTCTCCCGTTCCTTCTGTAAAAGAACAAAGCAGCTGCAGCCCGGGCAGCAGGCTGTCCGTGACTTACTTGTGTCCTTGGAGCTCAATGGCCGTTCCTTTTCTTCCACCAATGTCCCACATGATGACAGAGTGATCAGAACTGCCAGAGAATAGCACTCGATGGACTGGGTCCCAGCATAAGGCTGTCACCCCTCCTACAAGAGGAAAGACATGCTTATATACACACATACAGTGAGGAAAATAAGGTTTCAAAGAAGATAGCTGATGGGATCCCTAGAAGAGGAAACCTCCTAGGCTCTGTGTGTACCTGGTAGGATTGACTACAGAATAATGGAAAAGAGTCTCTGGAAACCAGACCCATTCTTTCATCTTCTCAACAAGAAAGGTACTAAGCCTGCATGTACAGTGTGACTAGCAGTAGCTTTTGTAATACAAGACAGTGAGGAGCCTAGGAACATACCAGGGCAACTGGATGGTGCAATGAATAGAATACTGGGCCTGGAGTCAGGAAGATCTGAATGAATTCGAATCCAGCCTCAGACACTGCGTGACCCTGGGCAAGTTACTTAAATCTCTGCCTCAATTTCTTCATCTGTATAAAGATAATAATAGCTGCTACCTCTCAGGCTTGTTGTGAAGATCAAACTAGATAATAATTGTAAAGTACTTAGCACAGTGCCTGGTACAAAGCAGGAGCTATATTTGATGTTTAGTCATTTTTCAGTCGTGTCCAACTCTTCATGACCCCTTTTGGGATTTTCTTTGCAAAAATAGTAGAATGATTTGCCATTCCCTTCTCCAGCTCATTTTACAGATGAGGAACTGAACCAAACAGGGTTAAGTGACTTGCCCAGGGGCACACAGCTAGTAAGTGTCTGAGGCCACAGTTGAACTCAGGAAGATGAGTCTTCCTGACTTCAGGCCTGGCACTCTATTCACTGTGCCACCTAGCTGCCTGGGCGCTATGGAAGTGTTAGCTATTATACAAAGGAGTATTCCTGATAGCTGTTGTAACACACTATCCAAAAGATTTCTTATCTTACTTTACTATCCTACAGAAACTGCTAGAGAGAACAAAAAGTGCTTTGTGTTTGTCTCCGAAGAATTTTTTAAAGAGATGGGAACAAAAGTAATACATATGTGTGTGTATACATGCATGTCACACATACACTCACACTCTCTCTCTCTCTCTGCTTCTTCGTCTGTAATGGATGATTTCCACTTTCATGGTTTTTCAATTTTAAAAAGTTTTTTAAAAGATTTTTTTGAAAAGTTTCTCTTCTACAATGCTTTCTCAGGAGAATTTTTTAAAGAGAGGAACAAGATCTATCTATGTACATATACATATATTCCAAGTGACTTGATTATAATTAATAGCTTTTGAATATATCATCATTCTCTGCTTTTCATTGTTTCTGCATCATTTTCTCCAATTTACCCAGTTAATTTATTAAGCCTGTTCTCCTGCTTTTATCTCTTCCTCACTTCCTTCAGCAGTATCCTATTTCCTTGACATGATTTAATACAAGTTATCACCAGTCTTTTCTCCAAGTCTCCTGCTCTCTGAAACTATCTTCTGAATATAAATTTCTCTTCAATTTCAAATTTTATTTAAAATCGTTCCTGAGAGATCACATAAAGAAAAATCATTATGCATCTCATCTCCCCCCTCAGATCTGCCTACACACACACACAATTGTCAATAATATTTTTGTCACACTTGATCATAAAAACAATAAACTGCAATATTTGTTCATTCCCTACAATCTCAAATACAAAATTTTTTTTTCTACAAGTGGGACTTCCTCTCAACAAACAAATTGCTTTATTATAAACCATGCACAATGGGAAGGTTTTTTTTCTTTTTGGTACTATAATTTTCAAGATCATGTGGTAATAACTTTGGAAAAAGTAACACACCATTTCTCCCAATGATTACATTACTGATTTAAAATCTTTTTAGAATTATGACATCCCCTCATTTAAATTTTCTTTTATAACATCTCTCATCTTTGACTCTTTCCCTCCCCCATGTTCTCTAGGGTATATTTTCATTAATTTTTGAAAATTTTGCAATCCTGCTTAACATCATGTGAGCATAGCAAAACCAGGGATGGAAATAACTAGAAAAGTCTACAATTGGAAGAACATTTACTTAAAGTACTTTTTTCACAACAAGAATGGCTGTTTATATTCACACCTTGCCAAGCACTTGTCCTGGGTTACCTGCACCTCTACTCCTACTCACATACTGCTGAACAATCCTGGAGAAAGTCTCATAATGTGATGGCTGAGTTCACTACAAATTTATGTTATTGAAACTCAAATAGGCCCTCACTACTGCATAGAAATCTCTTTATCCTTCTTCTCTAACTATCACACTTTCCACAGCAGGATCCTGTGATTTGTCCATGTTTAAAAAGCCAGTAAATGTCTGAGATAGGATTTGAACCCAGGTCTTCTGTGCCCAAGATTGGCACTCTATATCTACTATGCCACACTATCTTTAGGATATTGGAACTGTACATGTCCTAAAAATCTATTGTGTCTTACTTGGGAAAGTCAATATATTTTAGAAGAGAATAAACTAAAAGCGTAGGAAATAAGAAGAAAACTGAAGAAGGCCTCACACGTCACAACCTCCGTGTTACTTCCAGTACAGCATCTGATGCCACAGGATCAATGTTAAGAGTGTGAATGCGTTATAAAGCTTGAGGACACCCCTGGACACTCCTCGAGAAAATCTGGTCTTCTAACTAAAGGTGCACTTTGTATAAACTGAGTCACTGGAAACAGCTGGCCTGTTTTCACAAAACTAAACATACCCATTTAACTTTGCTTCACTGAAGAGCCTCCCTGGAATGGAAATATTTATTTGGTATAAGATGTCTTTTCTAGTCTTGTGAGTTTTTGTTTTGTATAGTAGTATTTCAATAGGTCTTATAACAAGTTATACCTAACACTTTTAATGCATATTAAATTAGGTTGCCTTAACGGTATTGTAGAGAGGCCTTTTTTCTCCTATAAGTCCAATTTGCTTATTCTAAACATTATAATCTTAGAAGTTAAAAAAGATTAATTAGCGAGGCTTGTCAAGGTCTGACTTTTTCTCCTCCCTATCCTTTTAGGTCAAAGTGATAGCTCTGGTAGAAGATTCTTTGGTCCATGCAAACATCTCAAAGAAGTCTGCATAGCCCTAAAAAATGTTCCTGTACTTGCAAAAAAAATGAAACCAGCAGAGGGAGCATAAGAACACAAAACCAGTTAGTTCCATGTCTCTGAGGAGTTGAAATGCTATGCTTTGGCCTTTGGGTATAAAGATTTAAGGGATACTTAGGCCACTTCCCCAGTAATTCAAGTTTTGCTTTTTATAAAAGGACCTAGCTAAGGATCATGTAGCTTAGTACCCTAAGCTACAACCAGGACTAATGTAGTAATTCAAATGGCTACTTCATTCATTCTATCTATTCAAAGCTGGTTTAGTTCAGCACTGAACCCTTTTTGAGTTAAAACCTGAACCAATGGGGTACTGGTCATCTTCAGGGATGACCCTTACCCTTCCATGAATGTGGTTCATTCTTTGATGGGATTGGAAGTGGGCCCTGCAGATACCCAACCAAAATGTGATCTTCTGTTCTACTAACAAGAACATTAACCTAGGGTAGTTGGGGTACCCAGAATTAACTCAGTTTTTGCATCTTTCATTAGAGACGTGAGAATCAGTTTGGAATTGCCAAGAGAGTTGTGATCCAAAGTAGGCCCCATTGGCTTCCCATGGTGCAGATTCAAAGCCATGAGTTTCACTGGAACCAAACTAATATTGGAAATGAGAAATAACAATAAGAATAATAATGATATGTGAACCTAAGACCTGCTACAGGTTGGTCAGAGACTTCCCTTTGGTTCTGCCTCCTTCCCTCCCTACCTCATTGAGATGTTAGAAAAAATAGATAAGAACGCTGTCAACTTGAGAAAAAACATAAATCTAATTACAGCAGTACAGGCCTACAATCTATACAATGTAGAGGCCACTCATGGTTTACAGAACAGTTGTAGAGGTCTGCTTGCTTCTGTTGGCAGCAGCACAAAACAGAGAGAAATAGTTACAGGCCATATATTGTAATAGACTGATTAAATAATCAAAGCAGCAGGCTGAAATCTGACCCTGACCCAACCAGAAGAGTAGGCTATTGTCTTAACTACCCTTTACTTTGTTCTTAAAAACTTTACACTCAACTTGGGTCTAAAGACATTTTCATAGGACTATGACAAACATCTAAAAAGAGAAAATAAACCCCAAACACCCATCTTCAAATGCTCCAAGTCAGAGAAACTTTTTCCTCCTGTATTTGCTTTATGGCAGTTATGAGGAAAGGTTACAGAAAATGGGATTGCTCCACCAGAGCAGAAAGTTAAAGAGGGTTTATTAATGTCCTTTATTTGCAAAGGGGTATGGGTTGGGGAATAGAAGAGATATTATCAGGCAGAGGAGAATTTCCTTGTAGTCATGGCTCTTAGGGGCTGGAATGGATTTCATCATTGAAAAATAGAAAAATATTAGGGCTAGAGGGTGCCTTTGGATTGTCTAGTCTAACTCTTACTTCCTAGATGAGGAAACCAAGGCTAAGGGAAGCCTCCCTCCCCCAAAATCAGGGTTCTTTTTACCACACTATGGTGCTTTAAAAAGAACAAATTAAATTTTATTGAAATCTTTTGTTTTTAACCATACAGTGCTGTTGTAAAAGTAATCTGCAGAATATTATCACTCATTCTCATCTGTTTAGACTATTGTTAATATCGTCAAAACTATGTAAAAAGAACCATGATAATATGGTTCTCCCAATTGATACATATGGCACTGGTGGTCTCATTAAGGTATCTATCCCTTTCAGTTGTTTTTCCTGCATACATTTTCAATGCCTAAAACAATACTACCTAATCAACCAGATCGTTTCCCCCATTTCACATGGAAGGGCAGCATGGAACAAACAGTGGGAAGAGGACCTGCTTTGGAGTCAGGGAACCTTGGGTTCAAATCCTGCTTCTGATGCTTAACAACCTGTTTCTGATACTGTGACCTTGGGAAAATCATTTAACCTCCTTGGGCATCAGTCTTCCTCATCTGGAAAAGGAAGGTCTAGGATTAGATGACTTTTGGGGTCCTGAGAAGTTCTAGATCCTATCTTCTCTTTCTTCCCCTCAGTTTCATTCAAAGTCCACATCCAGGTCTTCTTTCTCTAGAGGCCTATCCCTGTCCTGTAGCAATTAATGAATGAGTAGACCAATCTATCTAGCAGGTCAACAAAGTTAGATACACAGGCAAGTCAATTTCCAAAATGCAGTTGAAAAAGCTCTGGCTAAACGGGTCTTAAAATACCACAAAAACACTTAATGATCACATGTTCTGTGGTATGCACGTAACAACTATGAAATAATTATAAAAACTAGGAACAATCACTTCTCTAATAGCTCAATCATGGGCTGAGCACAGATATATTATAATACCTACGCAACATAAAGCTGGACATATTGGGTGGGTATGATGTGGGTAGGGAGACTGGTCGTACTTTCAAACCCAAAGAGTCTTAATGCAAAAGCTAAACTAAGTAAGTTTTTTTAAAGTAGTTTAGTTGAAAATAATGAAACATTTACATATATCACACAGGTCAACCAAACTAAATGTTCATTACATACAGAGTGAGAGTAAGAGACAGTGTAAACAGTTGTATCCTCCCATCCTCTCTCCACAGATTTGGGCCACTGCCACAGTCTCAAACAACATCTTACTAATGTCTACCAAAATAAGCTTTCCTTAATATGGTATGAAAAAAACAAAATAACTATCATTTTCCAAACAGATTGATGCCTCTTATGTTGTGACTGCTATAGAAAAATGCTGACATTTATCCTATTGGAGCTGTCTGAAACCAGAACGTATAAGCACCCAGCACAACCACACAATCAGAGACTGTGGTCTCTCTACTTCTATATATGCACCCTCTCTGCTTCCCTCACAGGCTTGTGCTCTATAATCTCAAGGTGGTTTGAGGCGGTATGTGCCCTGATGCCATATTTTGATGACTGTTCTCATACCTACCTGTATGTCCTTTGATTGTTGTGACAAGGCTGCAGTGTTCTTGCTCCAGTTTTAAGATTGTAACTTGTCCTGAATGGTCGCCTACAAACACGTGTCGGGTATCAACATCAAATCTGGTATGGAGTGTTAAGGGATGTTTATCAAGAAGAGAAAAATGGATGGAAAGGAAGGAAAGAAAACATATTCTTTTAATTCTTAAAAATCGTGACAAAGAGAACACCAAAGTGCTTATAACACACTTCTAACCAGTTACCAGCTGGAAGTAGAACAACATTTAAATTGGTAAACACTACCTTAGAGTTTATCTTGATTAACTGTGACAAGAACATAAATGAAAGAATAGACTCAATATGATTCCTAGTAATATTTCTGATGGGAAGGTTGATAATAAAATTCACTTAAAAAGAACACGTACCAAATTTCTTTGGAAGAAAATGAAATTAATACAACCTCATATATCTAGATTGATTGGGATCAGCTATAATCTGGTATGCAGAAATCCACATAATCCCAGTAAATGCCCTTAGGACCTTTTCCCTGGATACAAATGGGCCAGAGAGGTCAGATACAGTTGGGGAGATACTCTACACCCTGTTTTGTGGGTTGATGTACTGGAAATTTGTCCAACATCGTCTAATTACAGGCTGAGACCTTTCTGGAATCATTTGTTAGAAAGCCAGACAAATACTTGGATTATAACTTGATCATAATAAGGCAGAGACGTCAGTCCCTCTGCACAGCAGAATGGTTTGGGTAACCTGGAAATCTGGCTAAGTGAGATGACAACTGTGTATTAATGATTTTCAAAGGTAAAGAGAAGCAGAAAAAAGAAAATACATAGTGAAAACAAACATAGCAGAGAGGCAAATATAGAGCTCAGTGTTGGGCTTTGTATTTGTTTCCTTATCTGAGACCATCTTGCTTATCCATAATAGGACATAAACTCCTTTAAACAGGGACTGGAGGGGATAGAGCCAAGACAGTAGAGGAAAGGCAGAGACACACCTGAGCTCTCCCAAATTCCTCCAAACAACTTTTTAAAAATGCCTCAAAATGAATTCTGGAGCATCAGAACCCAGAAAAGAACCAAGTGAAACAACTTTCCAGCCCAAGACATCCTAGAAGGCTGGCAGGAAAAGTCTGCCACTCATGAGTGAGAGTGGAGTACAGCCCACCCAGAGAGGCCGAAGGCCCGTGCGCCATGCGAGCCAGCAGCAGGCCGTGGGGGCAACTGAATGCTACACGAGCTCTTAGCCCAGAGCCCAGAAGGGGATCAGACAACTGGGGAGATCATAGGGATCCATTTGCTGGCACTAGGTGCAGGTCTCTACTGCATTTCCCATACTTGGATCTGGGTTGCAGTCCTGGGTGAAAGTCCCAGGGTTAGGAGGAGCGCTTGCATACCAGACCTTGTGGCCTCTGGGGAACATGGACCATGGTCACAGGTCGAGGGTGAAAAAGAGTGCTTATAGTACCTCACAGACCACAACACAGGCCAAGAAAGTAGTAAAGACAACTCTCTTTAGATCATAGTACCTTAGAAGAACTGAAAACTTGCATACCCCCAGACCTAGCTCTGAAAACAACTGCACAAAAAATCTGAGGCCTGGGATAGTGCCCTGGGAGCAGAGCCCAACTATAACATAAAGTTAAAAGTCAAGAAATAGGCTGGAAAATGAGCAAACAACAAAAAAAAAGAACCGGACCATAGAAAGTTACTATGGTGGCAGGGAGAGCAAAACACAAACTCAGGAGAAGATAACAAAGTCAAAATGGTTACATCCAAAGCCTCAAAGGAAAACATGAATTGGTCTCAGGCCCAAAAAGAATTCTTAGAAGAGCTCAAAAGGATTTTAAAAATAAACTAAAAGCAGTAGATGAAAAACTGGAAAAAGAAATGAGAGTAATGCCAGAAAACAATAAAAAAAAAGAGTCAACAGCTTGGTAAAGGAGGTACACACACACACACACACACACACACACACACACACACACACACAAATACTGAAGAAAACAATACCTCAAAAAACAGAATAGACCAAATGGAAGAGGCACAAAAATCTACTGAAGAGAAGAACACCTTAAAAAGCAGAATGGGCCACAAGGAAAAAGATGTATAAAAATTCACTGGAGAAAAGAACTCCTTAAAAAGTAGAACTGGGATTGACCAAATGGAAAAGGTGGTACAAAATAAAATAATTACTTAAAAACCAGAATTGGGCAAGGAGAAGCTAATGACTCTATGAGACATCAAGAAACAATAAAACAAAATCAAGACAATGAAAAAATAAAAGAAAATATGAACTATCACATTGGAAAAACAAGACCTGGAAAATAGATCAAGGAGAGATCATTTAAGAATTATTGGAGGAGCAGCTAGGTAGTACAGTGGATAGAGCACTGGCCCTGGAGTCAAGAGGACCTGAGTTCAAATCTGGCCTCAGACACTTGACACTTACTAGTTGTGTGACCCTGAACAAGTCACTTAACCATGACTACCTCACCAAAAAACAAACAAAAAAAAAAAGACTACTTGAAAGTCATGATTAAAAAAAGCCTACTCATCATCTTTCAAGACATTATCAAGGAAAACTGCCCTGATATCCTAGAACCAGAGGGAAAATAGAAATTCAAAAAATCCATTGATCACCACCTGAAATAAAAATGAGGGGCTCCAACTTCACAGCCGTGGTGGAGCCCCAATGTACTGGAGGGGATCTTAGTGGCTCACTACCTTCAGAGTATTACTCCATGCCTGGCCTTAGGCAGGGAGCTGGTTTATCACCAAAGGCTGGGAGAGGGAGGCACCATCATGTCTCTGGCAGAAAGTACACAGTACCTAACTGGCTGGAAACCTTGACCATGGCTCAACCAGGAGCCCATGCCACATATTACCACAAAGCCAGTGACCAGCTTCAAGTCAGGGTGCAGTTCAAAGCCAGCACCTGAATGCAGGATACTTATATCTCCTTCTGCCTCCAATTGGACCACCCCAAGGCCAATGTCCTCTTCGAAAGCTCCATGGACAGTAACTGGATCGTGGATGCAGCTGTGGAGAAGCTTCGCCCCACCCCCATCCAGTGTTGGCCCTGGGTGCCTTCTTCAACCATCGAAAGAACAAGTTCCAGCATGGTTTTGGCCTCAATATTGGCTGAGCCCATCACACCACCCATCCTGTTCACTCCCAGGCTGGGGAAGAGGGGTACCCAAAACTCCCAAGGGCTAGGATAGGGGGAGAGCTCAGTCTACTGGGGAGACCCCAGGACTTGGGGAGACCTTGGGAGTGGACAGGGAGACTTCAGGTTTTTAGAGACACACTTCAGAATACTGGAAGCCCTATCCCCCTGCCACCTCTCCCCATTCCTGGAAGGGCTCTGGGATCTAGGACACCTGGGGAAGGGCTATGGAGGGGGAGGTGCCCAAGATGGAGCCTTTCTTCTCCCCATGTGGTGGAGCTGGGCTTCTGAGAGTGCAATGTGGGCTAGGCATCCCTGTCCTGCCTCAATGATGGCCACAGGAGGGTGCCCCACCATCCGAGCCTCCCAGTTCCATCCATTTCCTTTGGCCTCTCCCTCCCTTCTCCCCAACTAGCCCCAATTAGTGTAAATTACGTTTATAAGTTATGGAAAAAACCAGAATCTTTTACGAAAAAACAAAACAAAACAAAACAAAAATACACAGCTAACAAAGTGAAGAAAAAAATGAGGGGAGGGGCAGCTAGGTGGTGTAATAGAGTACTGGCTCTAGACTCAGGAGGACCTGAGTTCAAATCCAGCTTCAGACACTTACAACCTGTGTGACCTTGGACAAGTCAGTTAACTTTGAAATGCCTCCTAATTAAAAAAAAGAAACCAACAACAACTTCCAGGAATATTATAGCTAAATTCCAGAGTTTCCAGGTCAAACAGAACATATTGTAAGCAGCCATAAAGAAACAATTCAAATATTGTGTTGCCACGGTCAGGATAACACCGGACTTATCAGCTTTTACATTAAGAGGGCTTGGAATGATATTCCAGAGGACAAAGGAGATAGGATTACAACCAAGAATCACCTACTCAGAAAAATGGAGTATAATCTTTCAGGGGAAAAAGTGGGCATTCGATGAAGTTGAGGACTTTCGAGCATTCTTGATGAAAAAACCAGAGCTGAATACAAAATCTGACTTTCAAATACAAGACTCAAAAAACATAAAAAGGTAAACAGGAAACAAATCATAATGCATTAAAAAAGGTTAAACTGTTTACATTTGATACTTGTAAATCCTTGTAAGAAATTTCTCATTATTATGGCCAGTTAGAAGGAGTATATATAGACATACGCAGCTGGGTAAAGAAATCTATGTTGCCATATGGGGAAGTGGGAGGTAAGGGAGATAAGTAAGAGAAGGGAAGAGGACTGATAAAAGGGAGGGAGCTGATAGAAGGAAAAGTGAACCAGAGGAGGTGGTAGTCAGAAGCAAAACACTTTTGAGGATGGACAGGGTGAAAGAAGAAAGAGCAGGATAAACAGGAAGAACTATTAAAATTTACAGCAAGTTTCTCTGATAAAGATATCATTTCTCACATATACGAGTCAAATGAATAAGCATATAACTCATTCCCCAACTAATAGTCAAAGGATATCAATAGGCAGTTTTCAGATGAAGTAATCAGAGCTATCTAAAGTCATATGAAAAAATGCTCTAAATCAATACTATTTAGAGAAACGTAAATTAAAACAACTCTGAGGTACCACCCCACACCTATCAGATTGGCTAATATGACAGAAAAGGAAAATGACAAATGCTGGAGGAGATGTGGGAAAAGCTAGATGCTAATGCACTGTTGGTGGAGTTGTGAACTGATTCAACTATTCTGGAGAGCAAATTGGAACTATGCCCAAAGGGTTATAAAACCAGGCATACCCCTTAATCCAGCAACACCACTACTAGATCTGTATCACAAATAGATAAAAAAACAAAAAGGAAAAGGACCTATATATATATATAGGTTATAGGTCCTTATAACAAAAATGTTTATATGTTTATAGCAGCTCTTTTTGTGGTGGCAAAGAATTGGAAACTAAGGGGATGCCCATCAATTAGAGAATGGCTGAACAAGTTGTAGTATAT